GGGTGGGTCTTACGTTTTGGGTAGTATCCTTCGTTTTTAATTTTTCATCAATTGCATTCTTTGTTTTGTTTTGTTTTTGTTTTTGTTTGTTTTTCAGTTTATTAAATTATCAGTCGTATTCCTGGTGTTTACTTTAGCATCAGTCATGTTCTTGTCATTTTATCATTAATCGAATTCATGACTTTTAATCGTAAATGCAATTTTGGTCTTTATGTAGTCTATTTTATTCGTTTGTTGTTGTTGTTTTGTTTTGTTTTTTTTTTTGTTGTTGTTGGGGTTTTTTGTGTTGTTTTTTGCATAAATCCATTCGGTAGGTCCGACTTCTTTACTTCACCTATTGTCCCTGTCTGTGCCTGTCTTACTTTCCCCAGCACCTAATAAGTTAAATAACCATTATTGTGTCGATGCGCCTCTCTTTAATCAGTGGTTAGCTAGTTAGCAGGTGCTCTGGTGTGATTTGCTCCTTCATACCTATCAAATATCTGTTATCCTTATCCATCCTCCTTCATTTTTTAAAGTTTGATTCTCCCTTGTAACACGTCTAATCTTTGGCACTGTTCTTACATGACCTTATTGTGTTGCAAGTGCCGTACAATTCTAACTAGAACATATCTTGATTCAAACAAACGAATAAACAGATTCATCAACCCATGCATCGATGCGTACTTTGTGGAGGCTGGCAGCAAGGTTCCCATTGAACCTTCCTTCCCCACGACGCCAGAACCACCAACTACAGCACCATCTACAAATCCACCAACAAATCCACCCACAAATCCACCAACAAATCCACCCACAAATCCACCAACAAATCCACCCACAAATCCACCAACAAATCCACCAACAAATCCGCCAACAACTGCAGAAGCGACGACATCAGAACCAACAACACCTCAGCCAACCGTAGCTCCGACAACAGGAGGTTGGTGTTCAATTTTTTTTCTTTATAGATGTTCTGTACTTATAGGTTGAAAGTACACCCAGCATGGCTTGTATGGATAATAAATTATACTAAAATGATTTGTTTTATCTTAATATAAAATGTGGGTATATAATGTGGGTTAGAGTGGGTAAGAGCGTATTTCATTGCGTTTGCCTGTGTTTTGGAATGGGTGTGTGTGTGTGTGTGTG